TGTGTGTGTGTGTGTGTGTGTGTGTGTGTGTGTGTGTGTGTGTGTGTGTGTGTGTGTGTGTAGAGGCTTTGTGGGCGCAGAGGCGCGGTTATTATGGGAACTTAGGTGAGCTGTACTCTATACTACGATCCGCAGCCAGCAGAGTCTCCTTCAGAGTATTTATATTTTTCCTGTCCAATTTGTATTCCGGACAGATGCTGTATTTTATTTTTACTTTTTAGTTGATACTCATGCACTTGTGACACCGGGTTTTGGGGTGACTATGGGTTGCCTTGCATTGAAATTGTTAAAAATATTATTATTTACTTTGTAAATTCCACATTTTTCTATTTAATTTAAGAAAATTATGATTTCGAAATACTAAAAGATGAGAATCAAATTAAGTATTTATTTTTGTCTTGCCTGACAGCGGTGTCCGGCGCCATCACGACCTTTAATGGATTTTGGGTTGTGACAATGCTTTCATTTCTATCTGAAACTATACACATCCCTTCCCTAACACCAAAAGTACCCTTTATCTAGACAAAGCATCACTCCCAAGATTTATTATTCTCTGAATCTATAATTGCATATGCAAGTGGAAGAATTTTTCCTGTTTATACAAAGAAGATATTAGGATTCAGACAATTATATAAATATAATACAATTTTATACACGAACATACAAATTTATACATACTGCAAATCTTATAAAAACAGCAGCTCTGAAATCCTATACACGTTTATATATGAAACTACAATATTATACAAACTGCAGAAACAAGGTAGATGCAGTCAACTCACCAGCTCCATCATGTGTGCAAGCAGTCAATATGGTACCCTTATATGTTGACTTAAGGAAACTTCCTTCAACAACCATTATCGGTCTGCAATACTCCAAACCCTTGATAGATGCATATAACGAAACATATGCGTAAAGAAAGCATCCATTTTCTGATTTGTGCAACTTTGTAACCGTTCCTGGATTTGTATGCTCCAACATATGCAAATACTTCGGCAACTCCTTATATGAATCGCTCGGATTCCCTCTTATCATTGCCATTAATATTTTGATAGCTTTCTATGCTTTCATGTAGCTCACTTCAACCCCATGTTGCTTTTGTATGTCCTCAATTATATCATTTGGGGTGTAAACTTTTTTTGGATTAACATACTTGTCCTTGACTATACTAGCAATTACACCTGAAGTAGCTTGACGTTGTGTTAAGTATCTTTCACCATAGCCGCATATGTGATTATTATTGTAACTTCTCACCTTGAATATGTTTGCCATGTAAATGGCAGAAGATTTGAAACTCCAAGCACAATTGTCATCCACAATCATAAGGTGATACCTAGGATTAAAGATCATTCAACTTATAAATACACTTGTATACAAAACCATAACTAGATATATACTAATTTTAATACCTCTATACAAATATATACTACTTTATACTATATATATATAACAGAATATACAACTATTACCATACCTTGTTGCGCTTAATCTATTCACCTTGAATTGGAACCTCTCGCGTACAGCTAAGTTTTTTATCACATTGATAACTGTCTCTTTATCTTTATAAACTTGATCCTCCTCAACCAATTCGTTTAACATATTGTCTATTATACCATAATTGATGTTTTTAATAAATTCGATATCATGCATAATCTCAATGCTATCAACTGTGGATGCATCTTAAATATCATTTTCACACTTGCCTTTATCTATACAACTGGAACTTGTAGCAACCAAACAACTGGAACTTGTAGCAACCAAATAATTATCATAAATCTCTTTCACTGTCACATACAATAGGTACTCAGTGAAATTCAAATTTTTCTTCTTTAATTCAATATACACCGAACACCAGTATTGTTGTAAATCAGGATCGGTGGCAAACCATCCTTTGGGAGAACTTAATCTATAATGTATTTAACTCAAAATAAACTCTAATCTGTTTCGAAATTGCTTCAACTAAATTATTGTAGCTGAACTAGACTCGATTATTACACAATCGCCTGCAAAATTGATAAATTTATTGTCATATCATTCACCACTATGAAGAACAAAAACTGGATAAAGCTCCATCGAACAAAAGCTGAAATCAATATTGCAGCAAAAATGAAAATCGCGCCGATTGCAGCAAAAACAAATTCACTTTTGTGTTTGATTTGCTGTTAATTCGAGATGAAGAAGAATTTCAAGGTTTTTTTGAGTTGCATTGAGTGTAAAATCGCATTTTTGTAGATTTGGGGAAGAAGAATGGAAAGAATGAGAGAAAATCCCGCTTCTGAATCCCAAATAACGGAAATAACGCCCATTTTTCGGATATGGGCCAGTTATTTTTGGGATACTCGGTTGTAAATTGAAATATGGGCTATAAAATTGAAAAGTAGGGAGCCCAGTTGTGACCTAAAAATTAATTTAACATCTTTGATAGAAAAATAATTCAAGTTTGGTGACCTATGGAAAACGTAACTTAGCAATTCACAAATAATTTTATTTTTAATATGATAGAAATACTTTTATAACTTTATTGTTATAGGAAAATTTGTTTAATTATTTTAATATGACAAAAAGTAAAATTTTGACAATTTTGGTAGAAAAAATTCAAATTGGGTGGCCATTTGAAAAATTAATATGGCAAAATATTTTTATAACTTTATTGTTATAGTGAAGAACAAACAACCTTCCGAACCCACAAATTTCATAAACTTCTGAACTGCGAAATTTCGAACCCGTAAACTTTATAATTTCTAAACTCGTAAACATCCAAACACATAAACTTCCGAACTGATAACTTTGAAATATGTAAAATTTCGAACTTGTAAACTGAAAGATGAAAAAACTAAAAATAAAAATATATATAAAAAAATNTTTTGTGCGGGGGTGGGGTCTTAACTTTTTTGTGGGGACCTTAAGAATTAACGCTCTGTTCAGGGACTTAAGGTCTCGAGTAGCTTCGCAACATGTATTTATGAACCGCGGGTGTAGTCGAGTTTAATTTACTGAAGATTTAGAATTTAATTAAAAGAACTATCCTTGTTTGGAAACTTAAATGGAAAGAGTTGACCGGAAAGTTGACTTTTGAGTAAACAACTCCGAATGAAATTTTGATGATATCAATAGCTCCGTATGGTAATTTTGGACTTAGGAGCGTGTCCGAAAAATTATTTGGAGGTCCGTAGTGGAAGTAAACTTTAAATGACGAAACTTGAATTTTAAAAAGTTTGACGGGGGGTTGACTTTTCGATATCGGGGTCGAAGTCTGATTCTGAAAATTTGAATAGCTCTGTTATGTCATTTATGACTTGTGTGCAAAATTTGAAGTCATTCCGGATTTATTTGATATGTTTCAATACAAGATATAGAATTTGAAAGTTCAAAGTTCATAGATTTTGATTTGAGGTGCGATTCGTCATTTTGAAGTTGTTTGATATGATTTGAGGCCTCGAGTAGGTCCGTGTTATGTTATGGAACGTGTTGGTATGCTCGGACGGGGTCCCGATGGCCTCGGGTAAGTTTCGTATACTTAACGGATCGAATTTGGATTTGGAGGAGGAGCTGAAGCAGTTGGGCATCTGCTGTGATCGCACCTGCGAGAAAAAGGACCGCAGGTGTGAGCTCGCAGATGCAAGGAATGATTCGCAGAAGCGAAAATGCATGGGCTGGCCAGGCACCGCGGGTGCGAAGAAAGCATCGCGGGTGCGAAGACCGCAGGTGCGAAGAAATTATCGTGGATGCGAAGATCGCAGGTGCCAAAGTATTATCACGGGTATGAAGACCGCAGCTGCAAAGAAATCACCACGGGTGCAAAGACCGCAGGTACAAAGACCGCAGGTGCGAAGAAATCACCACGGGTGCGAAAATCCTAAACAGAATATTAAATACAGAGGGGTTCCGAGTTTTGCCATTTTTAGGCCTTCAAGCATGGGTTTTGAGGCGATTTTGAGAGAGAATTCAAGGAAAACTTGAGGTAAGTCACTTGTGATCATTTCTACTCCATAATATTGAATTATCATCGACTAATCCGATTGGATTACATGTTTTTGAGGTGTAAATCAGGGGTTTGAACTTAAGGATTTGAAAATACGATTTGAAGATTTGGGGGTCGAGTTGAGGTCAAATTTTGGTAAAATTAGTATGATTAGACTCGTGGTTGAATGTGCTTTCGGATTTTGTAACTTTTGTCGAGTTCCGAGATGTGGGCCCCACTGACGATTTTTGAGCTAATTTCGGATTTTTATTGGAAAAATTAGTATTTTCTTATGGAATTAATTCCAATAAATTTTATTGACTGAATCGAATTATTTGTGGATAGATTCGAGGCGTTTGGAGGTCAATTCAAGCAAGAAGGCGATTATGGAATATTGACATAACTTCAAAAAGGTAAGTATCTTGCCTAACCTTGAGTGGGGAAAATTACCCCTTAGGCATTGAGTCTTATGTGTAAATTGTATAATTAAAAACTATGTATGCGAGGTGACGAGTACGTACTTGGTTTATATGTGCAAATTACATTGGTTAAAATTCTTAGACGCCCTTATGTATTAAGTCAAAAATTATTAGCACTTATTAAATCCTCTATTTGTCATGCCTAGATCCTGGTTTGTTGAAATTATTTTTATATGTTGATTTGGTGCGATTTCCACCTTGAATTTATGTGAAATATATTTTGTTAAGATTTTGTGCACATTATGGTCGAGCCATGGGCTCCTAATTGTGGAAATGATGTATTGTTGATTTTTGAGGCAAGTTAAAATATTTGAGCACTCGATGTGCAATTTTCTGATATTTTATAATATTTGAGCACTTGATGAGCCATTTGTGATATGTGAGCACTTGATGTGCAGTTGTTGAAATCATATTTACTTTGCGACTACGGAACGGTATTCCAGGAGATCCCCCTGCCCTGCATATTTACTTTGGGACTACGGAACGGTATACCGGGAGATCTCCCCTGCCCTACATATTTACTTTGGGACTACGGAACGGTATTCCGGGAGATCCCCCTGTCTTGCATATTTACTTTGGGGACTACGAGGCGGTACCTCAGGAGATTTCCCCTGTCTTGCATATTTACTTTTGGGACTACGAGGCGGTACCTCGGGAGATTCCCCTTGTCTTGCATATTTACTTTTGGGACTACGAGGCGGTACCTCTAACGACCCAACCGATCGTTTTGACTTTTAAAACCCAGTTCCCCTAAATAATACTTCCCGAATATACTTTAATTATTTATGACTTGTGGGGATGGTTGGTTCGGGATTTGGAAGTGTTTAGGTTGAAATCGAAATACTTGATTCCTTAAGTTGGCTTTAAAAGGCCAAGTTTGACTTTGGTCAATATTTTGAGAAAACGGACTCGGATCAGTATTTTGACAGTTTTGGTAGGTTCGTATCGTGATTTGGGACTTGGGCGTATGCTCAGACTCCAATTCTGAGGTCCCTAGCCCGAGATATGGAATTTTGATGAAATAATTAAAAATATTTAAGTTCAAATAGTGATCGGATGTCAAATTATGTGCAAAACGACCCCGGAATAGAATTTTGATGATTCTAACAGCTTCGTATGGTAATTTTGGACTTAGGAGCGTGATCGAAATTTTATTTGGAAGTCTGTAGTGAAATTAGGCTTGAAATGGCTAAAACAAGAATTTAAGTTTGGAAGTTTGACCGGGGAGTTGACTTTTTGATACCGGAGTCGGAATACAGTTCCGAAAATTTTCATAAGTCCGTTATGTCATTTATGACTTGTGTGCAAAATTTGAGGTCAATCGGACATGATTCGATAGGTTCCGTCATCGAATGTAGATGTTTGAAGTTCTAAAGTTCATTAAGCTTGAATTGGGGTGCGATTCATGATTTCGATGTTGTTTGATGTGATTTGAGGCCTCGAGTAAGTTTGTGTTACGTTATGGGACTGGCTGGTATGATTGGACGGGGTCCCGGGGGCCTCGGGTGTGTTTCGGGGTGGTTTCAGATCATTTCGGGCTATTTTGCAATAGCTGATGCTGGTGTCTGGTGTTGTTCTTCGCGTTCGCGAGGAAGGATTTG